TCGAACTGGAATGTCGCCGAATGCCAAACAGTTCTGGACTTGGTCAGTTCTCTGGCTGCTCTGCTGGGCTGTGCCCCGTGCGTTGGCGCAGTTGTGCGAGGCGCAGGGCTGGCGCAGCTTTGAGTGCCGCGAGCTGGGCAGCCTGCAGGAGCTGATCAATGAGAAGGCCTTGCCCACTGACAGCTGGCACAGGCTGAGCATCAGAAACGAGCACACGGAGCTGAGCATAGGCACAGGTAAGCTTTGCGCTTGAAAAGTTGTGCAGCAGCGCCTAATTCTACATTGCAGACGAGGACGCGCAGAGCTTGGCCAGTTTGTTGCACTTGGATCTGTCGCATGTGCAGCAGCTGCAGCTGCAGCGTGCCGGCTTCTCGATGCTGCCCCAACTGCAGCAGCTGAACATCAGCGGCTGCGCCTTGGAACAACTGCTCGACACGCACTTTGCCGCCAACACAAGGCTGCAGCTGCTCGACGCCAGCCACAACGAGCTGACAACTCTGACAAAGCATCTCTTTGGCAAGCTGCGCACTTTGATTTATGCGAATTTCACACATAACGCACTGACGCACTTCGAGCTGCCCCACATGCCAATGCTGCAGCAGCTCCAGCTGGACCACAATCATTTGATTAATGTCAGCCTCGGCGCCTGTCCCCATTTGCAGCAGCTCAGCCTTAACGGCAATCTGCTGGACCAGGTGAGTAACCAACAGGGCAGACAATGGAGCACTTAATTTGCAGCGGGAATAAGCGGGAATTGTCGCTCCTAACACAAAAATAGATACAAGCAGGCACCCGAACACTCTTTTTCGATCACAAGTCACAAATCTGCAGCCCTATAAACTCTTTTCGCTTTGTTAACGAGTGCAGCGAATCATCAGCTGTATTTATTTTGGGTTCCACAAAGGTCGCGGCTTCCATTGAATCTAATCTATATTTGATTTCTTACAACTGCGTAGCTTATAATCTCATTCAATAAGTATAGTCTACTAGAGTGGAAATACCAGTTCCAGCAATCGATTCTTGAGTACCCTACTATTATTATTATTTCATATATTCATAAACCATATATGATATAGGCATACACTATCGGCGAAAGTTTCGCCCAGTCTTCGAAACCGGATCCTCGTTGTTTAGTGTATCGTAAAACTTCTCTGCTTATTATTCTATAGCTCCACTGAACTTTTCACGTTAAGAACCACGCATTCTGAATATTAAGGCCTTTAACTGGCAGCTCAAAGATCTTCGGTGTGCCAATCTTTAATACCCTTTAAGACATTTCCCCTTGACTGATATGTTGTAGAAAGTGCAGCTCGTTAATGCTGAGTTTGATCAAAATATCATGAATCTACTCTTCAACTGATCTACTATGGCAGCTATAAGATATAGAGGATAGGAAAGGATAGACGAATATGGCTTATCAAGCCGGATATGTCTAAGTGTTACACTTTTCATTACAAATGTATAATACTCTCTACAAGGGTATTCAAATGTGTACATATATTTATAAAAAAAAAGAGAGCCTACGTACCGAGAATCAAATCGCTAGCCCTAGCTCAACAATCAGTGCAGGGTATATAAAAACCTGTTTTAATTTAACGATATTACGTTATTGCGTATGAAGAATCTACGTGCATTAAATATCCATTTAAATTGCATTAAAAATGCACTCAATAATTTCTATAAATATTTTGATGTAACATTATCATTAATTAACTAACTAGATGAAATTACCCGGCATCGCCCGAGTCAAATGAAACAATTTGTGCAAAGGCCGAAAATTTAGTATTTCAATCTACTCTCTAGAGTCTGAAAAGGCAATCGGGCTTTATTAAAGCCAGTTGAAGTATTTCGATCGAATTATCGATTGATATTAAATAAATTGTGTTTCCAAATAACCAGGAATATAGTTAGAAAAGATCACAATGTTTGCCAGAGCTTCTCATATCAAACATTTTAGGATTCCAATCGGTTCTAAGGGGTATTACGATTCCAAACAAGGCATATCTCATCAGGATAAGACTTTTTGAGCCGAATTAAATTAATTAATTTTTCAATAATGATATAATTGAGGTATTTGGGGGTATATTTAGGAAGATTTCCTCCAAAACTTCGTCTTAGGAAAGGAAAAGGAAGCTACTGTAAAAGTTTCAACGCTCTAGCCCTTAACGTCTAGGCTGTGCGTTGATCAGCAATCATTCCGTCAATCAGTCAATCAGTCGGTCAGTCAATCAGTCTGGCAGTCTGAAAAAACTTATTCATATCTATATGTATAGGTTTCCCATCTCTTCGTAAATCCCATTTTGAATAATTGACTTTTGCACTTACCAGCTGAATGCGACAAGCTTTCGCGAACTACCTGGACTGGTGGACCTGCAACTGGGTGAGAATTCGCTTAAGACCATTGGCAAGGACACTTTTCAGCCGTTGAGGCAGCTACGTTCCTTGAATCTGTCGCACAATGAGCTGGATGCACTGCGTCCACAGGTGTTTGGCTCAGCTGTGGGGCAATTGATTGCACTGCAGCAATTGGATTTGTCCGGCAATAACATACGCCTGCTCTTTGACAATCAATTCCGAATGCTGGGCAAGCTCCAATTGCTGGACATATCCCAGAATAGCATCGCTAGCCTGAGTGCTGCACACTTTGCGGGTCTACATTCACTGCGCAAGCTGTATTTGCAGTCGAACGATATACTCGAGATCAAGCCAGACACGTTTGCAGGGCTTGAGGATCTGGACACACTGGACTTGTCGCACAACAACCTCGAGTATCTGGACGAGAAGGCATTTGGCAGCATGGCAATGTCGCGCCTGCGCAAACTCAATCTGAACGCCAACAGTCTAAAGCGTCTGCATGCGCTGGCCTTCTCCTCGCTGCCCTTTGTAGAATACTTGTCGCTGGGCAACAATCAGCTGGGCCGGCTGGATGTGCTCATGTTTGCGCCCATGCGACATCTGCAGAAGCTGCATTTGGGCCACAACGAACTGACCGAGATCAGTCCCACTGTGCTGGAGAGCCTGAGCAGCGTCGTGGAGCTGCTCATTGACAACAACAAGCTAACATTCCTGCCGGATCTAAATGGTACGCTGGCCAATTTGAAGCGTGTGGCCATTGAGGGCAATCCCTGGCAGTGCGCCTGTTTCACGCAGCTGGAGCGTTGGCTCCAGGCCAAGCACGTTACCTACGTGCGCGAGGGCACCGGCTACTACAGCGGCGAGAAGCCACTGTGCGTGGTCACAGCTGTGGAATACTGTGTGCAGACACTGCCGAAAGATCAACACCAAGATGTTGTGGATGAGTTCGAGGAGCGACTGCAATCGGGACGGTCCTTAGATGGTAGCTCAGATGAAGACTGATAAATGTGATCGATGAATAAGTGTGTGATGAATAAATGCATTTTTGAAGATTGATCGTTGATGATGGATGTTGTGGGGCAAGGCAAAAACACGGCCTGTTGTTGGCGCAGATTCCTATTATTCCAAGATAGATGTTGTATTAATTTAAACATATTGTGGTACATTTCCGTTTGTTGGCTGCGTCTCGCATTTTGTGTGTAATTTTCAATTTAACAAACTATAACTCGAGTCGTTTAGGCAGGTTGCTTGACGCGCAGAGACAAGGCAGTCAAATCGCCAATGCACTTGTTTAGCGTCTCCTTCTCCTGTTGGGGCGAGATGCTGGACAGCACATTAGCCACAATCCAGTTGACCATGTGCTTCTGGCTGAGACGACGCTCAACGTGACGGCATTCCACCTGATAGTCCAAGCGGCGCTTGACCTCTGAGTAGACATTCATGGCACGCTCGCGGAAAGCAGCCTCCAGCTGGAGGGCAATGTTCTCCTTCTTGGCATCCATCAACAAGAGGGCACCATCGGCACGCCACTGCTCCTTCTTCTCGGCCTCGATGGCATCAGCGAGCACCTTGAGCTCAGCCTCGCGACCCTCCTTCCACTCGCCTTCGATTTTCTAAAAAAAAAAAACCAACAATAATTAGCGATAATGCATATTCCATGCGATTGTTTTCACACTCACATCGATTTCACCATCAGCCCAGCGTGCAACAGCTGGACCCAGTTTCTTGACCGCAATAATGGCCATGATACCGAGCGACAGACCGCTGTAGTATTCGTGCTCCATCACATAGATTTCCTTGGAGCACAGGTAGGTGATCAGACCCACGCCGAATGTGTAGGGGCCAGTCACACCAGTCTTGTTATAGAAGAACTGGAACCATTCCTCTGGAATGAAGCCCAGACGCACCTTGCCGGGATGTTCGGGACGCTGGCGGCGCTCAACAGCTCCGCTGGCAGGCTGGGCGGCGGCGGCAGCTGCCGAGCGGCTGGCCACCAAGCTCAATGGGCGCTGGGCTAAACAAAATAATATAATAACCGATTATTATTTTGCTGTATCCAGTATCATTTGCAAAAAAATGCAATTTTAACACATCGTTCGCGAATGTAGCCCGTGATTACATAAACCACGATGGCAGATTTTGCGGTGCCGTAACAATTTTCACGGTCGCCGTTTGCTGCACTAACACACGCGCACCGGCCAATTAGCGAATTATTGGCCAATTTATATATTTAACTTTACTATTTTTACGTTTACCTGTAAGGAGTGCGGCTCTGGAGAACATTTTTGTAATTATGTTTCGACGAATTTATGCTACTAAATTGACGTTCAGGTCCTCACCTACCCTGTCATTCACAATAGAGCAGCAAAACTATCGATTATTGGTTCACAAACATGTGTCTACAGCGTTGCCAGATGTATCATCGTACATCGATTGCTCCACTCATACAATATACTAGAGTTGGTATTTTCAATTCGCATGTTTTTGGTATTTTGAAGATTGCCAACTGCTGTCACACTGTATCATTTTAAATATTCGCGCCTTAACATTGAGACGCAACAAAAGGTGATTAAATTAATTTAATGAAAAACTTATTAATACTATCTTATTGCAAGAATTTAGAAATAACCAATGAAACTGCAGACTTGTCGTTTGTAACTTTACAAGTTTTTATTAAAAAATATTACAATTCGCTAAGTAAATTGTGTCTAAAATAACATGAATCGCATGTGAAAGTGTTGCATTAAAATACTTTTACAAAATACTATAATAGACAGCAAACATATTTTGAAAATGATAATTATAAGACTGTAGTAATTCGTTTATGCATATATATTATTCGTTTACTTTGTTTGTTTGTTTCAGTTCTCAAAGCTATTGTGTGCAGTTTTCATAAATAAAGCGCTTAATCATGAGCTTCTTTGTGTGTGTGTGTGTGTGTTCCGTTTTGCTAAACTAACTAAAATGACTGTCTTGTGCGTAGAAAATAAAAACCTACAGAGAACACTAAATAGATATACAAAGAAATTAAAAATGATTAAAAAGAGCGTATAAAAATCCTTTCTGCGCTAACGTTATTTGTACAGCATTTCAAATAAAACATGATACGACTATTTACAGCAGTAAACATATACATATTTAAAAACGTAATAATACATGTATAAGACTAATTTACAACTTTCAACAGTGTTTGTTCCTTGTGTTTTTTTTTTCTTTTTATACAAAACGAATTGATTTGGCCTAACATTATGAATGGGTGGTCTCAACAGGATGATGATGATTACATGACGTTTGATCCTCATTTGAACACACTTATCATACATACATTCTGCTCTCTCGAGTCGGAAGGCTGATTGGGCGCAGTGGCGCAGTCCGTTGGCTCATTCAATAACATTGAAGCGTGTGAGCAGCTTGTGGTAGCACCAACGTACCACTTGCTGTACTCGGGATACCATCCAGACGCAAAGGCTACCTGTGTGACGCAGCTTGGAAGCGTAGTGCTTGAAGTGATCTGTGTGGCAAGAGTTAAGGCAACTAAAAACAAAGTGCACAATAAACAATGAACAATAGATATTTTGTGTAAAAAGGATATAATAATGTCCAAGGTGGATGACCGCCGTTTATGTAGGTCACGTACGTGAAACCGTCCTTGCCCTTGCCCCTTATGTTGTAGTAGTAAGGCAGAAACGAGTGTAACGTAAATCTGAAAGCCGAACAGAAAGCAGCCATTATTAAGCTAAAGACACGCCATCAATGGAGGAGGAGGAGTTGTGTTACCTTCTTTTCTCATAGAAAAATATGGCAGGTTGATTTGTGGTCAGCGTGTGCAGGAAGATTGCCTTCACCGCATGTCTTTCTACCGTCGTCAAATGGTTCATCAGCGCGTCCAGCAGCAGCGAACCGATGCCATTCCGACGATGTGCCCGATGCACGCCCAGCGACAATATGTAGCCAACATCCGCGGTGCGACCCATCGAGTCGGGCAATATGCCTTTGTCCTGCATGGGAAAACCGCTCAGCCTGTTGTAAAAGTCATCACTATCACTGAAATTGGCTATTACCTCCTTATTGACATTTCGATACGGTTTGATTTCGGCAACAATTAAACCAATTATCGCCAGATTATATACAGCGGCTAGCGCAAAGAAGCGCGTACTTGAGGTAATATCTTCGTACCATGACAGTGGATAATCGATTGGAAACCATTCTTGGCACAGCGTGCGCACCTGTCCCAGTCCAAATTACATGTAATTAATATTGTGCATTGGCTAGCAGGTGGCTCATACTCACCTCCGTCAGATCGTCGGGCACCAAAAACCTTAGCTGGACATCATTAACGGAGCAGAGCGGCACATGCTCGCAGTCGCAATCGACGCGCGTGAGTATATCGTTGTTGGGTGGAGCATTGTGTTTATTGTAGCTGATTCAGCGCCGCAAAGACGTCGCATTACCAAAAGAAATATATATATATACATATTATAGTTAATTGAAGTGCGTGCGATCTATGTATTAGTAGGCGACGGCAACCGATTTCCCTTGCATAATATTGCGACGCGTCACGACACCAATAGATAAACAAAAGGTCTATATTAACGCAACCCAGCGGCACCCGGCAACAGCAATGGGAACCATCGGCTATCGTCGCCCTACACGCAGTGGACTCTGCAGGTATATAATATAACAGCTTTTGTGCTACTCACAGCGTAAATTGTGGCATGCTGCCGAAGCTGCTGCTGCTGCTGCTGCTGCTGCTGCTCTGCTGCTGTTGTCTCCAATTAGGGCAATTATGTCCATGGATTGTGGCTGTGCACCACACAGGTTAGGCGCGGAATTTGGTCGGTCGTTTGTGATATGATAGGGCGAATATTTGTTTGCTCGGTTCGGGCTTTTGAGTGTGGTGCGCCTAATTGATTTTAATTAAAATTCACATTCGCCACATAAAAACCACTTGCTCTCGCACGCTGCAGTTGTTTTATGGTATCGAATATCAAAGGTAAACTGCTGCTTTTACTGCCGATGCACTCCATTTAGTGTGTGCCTGCTCTCCTGTGATGATACACACCCGCATTTCTTGGTTTTTAAAAAAAAAAACTACAAAAATTACTTTTTTTTTTTAGATTTCTTTACATTGTTTATTACAAACGACTAACGTGAAAACTTCACTGTGAAGAGCACGATTGCAAGTGTGAAACAGCTGATTTGGCATTCACACAAAACGACGCCGGGATGCCACATAGGCGCAATGCGGTGCTGCCTGACTAGCTGTAAATAGACCGCGTATTTTAAATACAAATTTTAAATTTGTTTGTATTTATATTTATTGTTATTGTTTGTTTTTGTTTTTAGTAACGCCTGGCTTGGCTTGCAGCCTGCGAAGTACTTGCCACCGGCGCTGCAGCTGGCTTTGTTGGATCGTCCAGCACTCGCACCACCATTGAGCTTTTCGGACCAGTGCACCAAGTTATGCCATGCTCATCCACGACAAATGTTTCCAGCGTAACCTGAAACTGGCCGCCACTCGAGATGGGCAGCAGAAAGCTACCAGAAAGGAAATCACGCTGCGGCTTCACGATCTGGTTGAGCGTGACTGTGTCATTGTTGGGCGTCTTTCCCAGTTCGTTGCCTGGCCGTGGCGTCAGCAGTTGCGATGTGAGACTCAGTTGCACCGAGTCGACACGTCGGAAGTGTTTCTGCTGCTTGCTAAAATGTTGCAGCACACCCTCCACCTTGATCACCAGATTGCTGCCCGACTGCACAATGACGGGCTCGGTGGCACTGCGGGGCTGTGGGCTGACCGACAGCTTTATCTGCGTGGACTGCAATATCTGGAAGAAGTAGCGCGGCAGGCAGAGTGAGGTCTTTGTTATAATTTCGATTAAAGCAATGATCACGTCCAAGTGCCTGTTGCTGATGGTCTTGGCGTTGGGCGGCTCCTGCGGCAGGTTTTTCTGCATTTGTTCCATGCGCTGGCAGCTGGCTGCAAAGAAGCGCGTCTCCGGATGATTGCCGGTGGTCAGGAAAACAGGTGGCTCCGGCGGCGTGGCATAACAAATCGATTCAATAATGTGGGCGAAGAGCGCGCATTGAAATTCGGCCACCTCAAGGAACTCCAGCGTCACATTATCCGCATCAAAGGATGACTTGTAGAGGCGTGCGTATGTCTCCTCGCATGCCTTCAGCGACTTGACCAGCTTGCGCAACTGATTCGTTACATGGCCAAACTTTTGCAAATAGTCGCGTGAGTTCTGGGCCAGGCTGCCGGCAATCGCTGGAGGCGGCACAATCACCTGCGCATTCTTGACAGTCACGGCCAGATGGAGAGTCTGCAAGAACTGTGCGCGTATCTTTAGATACTCCAGCTGAAAGCTGCACGGATGTTGTGGCGAGGAGCAGGCACGCATGCTGGCCAGCGCCTGTTGATACAGATTGCTCGCCGCCTCCAGGCGCCTCATCAGCGGCAACAATGGCTCCGGCGCCTCGGCGGGCGCATAATTATCGCGCATATAGGCATATTCACGGCCATAGTTAAGTATGCACTCGGCCTGCGAGATCTGCGCCAGTGAGACCAGAAAATAGTGCATATGATCGCTGATGACAATCTGCGAGACCTTCGTATAGATGTGCGCCGCCACGTAATGGTGTCCATAACGGCTCGCCGTGCGTGCTATACGATACAGAGTCCAACAGTTGACGCGTTCGATGCACTTCTCGAAGCAGTGCACCACTTCCTGCGTCAGATAACAGCCCATGGTCGTTTGGAAGACAAGAGCGCTCAGTATTTCCACTGTGCGCAGCAGCTGCTCCGGCTGCTCTTCGCTGTCCACCAGTTTGTTCAGCTTGTACAGTATAAGCGGTAATCGCGCCAGCATCGGATTGGGCTGAAAGTGGGAATCTTCGTAGGTTATTTGGTTATTGGATATGGCACAAATAATACCTTGGGTGGCGCAGGCTCGTCAGTTTCCATAGCCGCATCGTCTTCGAGACCTTCAGTCGTGGAGAACGCATACTTGCGCAGCTGGAAGTGCTCACAGAGTCCGACAGCCGCCTCGCAAATGAGCTGTAGATTTTCGGGCGGATAATCCACATTGTCGCCTAGAGTATTTGTTACCATCTCGATGAAGTCGGCTCCGAATTCCGCATTCGCTTGGGTTATGCGTATGCCATAGGCAAGCACACGTCGCAGATCTCGATTGAACTCCGCCCGACGCGACGTACAGAACAAAAGGCCCTCCATGTGCAAGTCCACCATTTCAAGTATAATATCAACATGTGGGTCCTGTTTCTTGAAGCCAAAGGCCACCAAAGCAGCCAGCACAGCCATTGCCTGTGTCGCTGTGGTGTAGTCATCCAGTTTGCTGATGCACTCGTTGCAAAGGCGCAGCAAAGCGTCGCGATGCTCGTTCAGCAGATGCTGGCACGTCAGTGGACACTCGCTCAGCTTCAAGAGTATGGAGAGAAACAGGAACTGTTCAGCCCCATTCGTGCAGAGATTGAATTTGCCAATGAGAGCGCCAATGGCGGGCTTGGGCCAAGCATTAACGCTCTGCTTGCCGGCCAGCTCATTGAAGGAGCGCAGAACCTGGATGCGTACGGGCGTACGCAAATCCTGCATAAAGTCGAGCAATACGTTTAGCTGGCCGGGCACGCCCACCAGCGTGCGCGACGACAATTGTGTGAGTGCATTAATGATGGCCACGACAAAGCTCTGAGCGGGGTATTTGGGCAACAGCTCCAGGCACAGCTTGCTGACCAATGCCGCCGTATTGGCATCGTGATGCATGTGTCGCAGCACCGGGATGAGCAACAGCTTCATAGGCACCGGCACCTGCAGGGATTCAATCATGTCCGAGATCTTCGCACACATGCTGATGGCAAAGGAGCTCGATTGGGCGGCAAAGCAGCTGCTGGCATAGATGGCGGCCTCCACTTCGACGGTGTCGTGGCTGTCGAGAGCACGACGTATTGCATGATGCACCTGTGGCTTCTCTGGTATTACACGTGAGACGGCGCCCAGGGTGCGGAGCAGCAGAGCGCGCGCTACCGGATCATTCGAATGCATCACCATAAAAATGCGGCGCACAAAGTTGTCAATGTTCAGTATCTTGTCCAGATGATTCTCGCTCTGCTGACACACGCGCAGCACCCAGAAACGCAGCAGATTTGAGCCGCTGACAAAGAACTCGGCCAGTTTGATGAATGACGAGTTGATCAGTATGGGGAAGGGATATTTCTCAAAGAGTCTCGGAAAGCGCACAATCGCTTCGCATTGTATTCCCTGCTTCGCGCTGCGGAGGCCCTTATCCAGCTCCATGAGCACGGCATTTGAATCGTGCTCATTGTCGTTCAGGAAGGACTCGTTAAACATGCTGACACGTGTGCCCGTTAAATGTGCCATTTTTTCGCTATTTATATAGTTACATTGACTTTCAAAATAAATATTGCTTCACGCTATGAAAACAGTAAACAAATCCAATATAAAAACTGATGCAGCCTACCGGTTGCCATTCAGCTGTAAACGTAAAACGGGGGGTACGCAGCTCTTGCTAACATGACTAACTATTATTTTTGTTTAAATGTTAAGGGCCAAATATGTGTGTAGATGATATTGTTGCCTTACTTATTTAGAACTTCATCCCATGTTTTTTTTTTTTAAGAAATATCTGCGGCGTACTCAGAAAAAGTAAGTTTGAAAGCCCTTAACAGCGCTGTTAACTCAACAGTATTACGTCAGGTGGTTCTGTTACGCTTTGCTTGCAAACTTGTTGCTGTTTAACTGTTTTGCTTATTCGCAAGTTTCTTCTGCAAAAATTTGCTTACATAGGAATAACTAACGCTGAAACTCTTAACAGAGCTGTTAACTCAACAGGATGCCGTAAGATAGTTCTGTTATTCGTTGATTGTGAAATTGTTGTTTAAATTGTTTAAAATATGTTTGTTTTGACTAGAGTAGATAGTGGTCTGTATACAAATAACAACTCATTGATATTAAATGCATTAACCAAGCTATATGTTGCAGATAAGGAAAAATTCATTTTAATTCCATCCAAAGGAATGTACACAATCGGACGCTTGTCGACGGACTTCATTTTAGCTAAAGACCTCAGCATTAGTCGCAGTCATGTACGCCTGTGCCTGCCCAGCGCTGGTTCAGCGGAGGCGCTCACTGTGGAAGACCTGGGCTCCAGGTACGGCACATTTATCAACGACGACATTAAGCGTAACAAAAAGTTGAATGCCAAAACGCCGACTCCGATCCAGGTTGGAGATAAGGTCCGTTTTGGTGCACTGGAGAACGTCTGGCAGCTGTCGCAGCTCAAGCTAATCACAACCGCATCGGCATTGAGCCGCGCAGAACTTCAGGAATTGAATCAGCTCATAAAACCTCTAAATGGCACCATCTTGCCTACTTGGACGGATGAGTGCTCGCATTTAACCATGAACACGGTTACGATCACAGTTAAGCTTCTGCATGCTTTGCTGCAGAATAAACCCATCGTCCGGGTTGAGTTCTGGCGGGAGCTGCTTAAGTTCGCCCGCCGGCTTCACGTCTCCGAAGATTGGCCGAGGCCAGCAGACTTTGCGCCAGTTCAGCCGGCAGATATGCCCAGCATTAAGTGGCGTCCAGAGCGCACAAAACTGTTTGCGGGCAAAACGTTTGTGTTCATGAATCGCAAGCATCTGGATATGTACGGCCCGGTGGTGCAGAAAGCAAGCGGCGCTTGCAAAGATCTCAACTCGGGCGTACGGAAGCAATTTCTAACGAAATCCAATGTCGTGGTCATACAATATGTGACCTCGACTCAATCGCAAGCAACAGAAACTATTTTCAGTGTTCAAGGTGTGTTTACTTAACCAATTTCTATTGAAGCTTTGTTTTTTTAATCAAATTTATTATTAAGGTATTCTGGAGCAGGCTGGACTGCGCCCTATACCAGATTACGAAATTGGATTAGCCATTTTGCACTGCTCCATGGACAAGTTTTGTAATCCGTCACACAAGATAACCGAGAACTCGTTGGCTACAACTGAATCAATGGATTCGTCAATCTTAGTCCCCAATACAGAGCGCACCCAAACGGAACGTTGTAGACAGAACAATGCATCTGAGTTTGTTGTCGCTGAGTCCCAAAGGTCGGAAATATATGCACTCAGCGCGGAGAGTGAAAACCCGGAATCGGAGCCTCAGTCGAATCCGACAAAACAATCAAAAACGAAGCCACACAGTAAAAAAAACAATGCTATATACTTGGACTCCTCTGATGAAGATATTGAGGTGGTTGAGCAACTAACTAAGAAACCTAAAGCATTGATTGAGAATGGCTCGAAGCGGAAAATTGATCATGTTGTCGATTCCTCTGATGATATTCAGCCCGAACCACATCAATTAAGGAAAAGAACGAAAACTTCAACCAGGCACAGCTCTGCTCAAGCGGCTCAAGAAAAGGAAAAAAAACCAGATACACTGGCTAATGAAGAGGATCTAGTTGACGACTGTCAATTGGCAAAGAAGAAAGCAAATGATTTGTCACAAAAACAGCCTGCAACTAATGCATCTAGGCGCTCAACTCGCTCCCACCCCCAAGTTGAGCAAATTATGGTTCAGACAAAAGCGCCTGCATCGCCCAGACGTTCACCACGCGGCAAACAGACTGCAGGAAAGGCTACATTGAGTATAGCCCAGAGTGATGATGATAGTGAGCAGGATGAGGAGCTATTTCAATTCAAAACGCAGACTCCAGCTTCTGTGGAACGTGCACCCTTTAGGCCGACCGAAGTTAATATTGAGTCCAACAGCGTGCTGGCTGAGAAATCTGTGCCCAGCCCACAGGTCAATAAACCAGCCAGAATTAGTGTGCGAAATTTTCTGGAAAAATCACAGACTCATGTTGCATCTCAAAATTGTGGGTCTACTGCATCTCAAACTCGCAAGCGTGTGCGACTGCAGCTCATAAACGAGAGCGACAGCGATGACAATGAAAATCTGTTCCAATTTGGCGGAGCCAAGAAATTAAAGCAGACAGTTGGCTCGAGCAGATCAGACAATGATTCCAATGATGAGGACTTGTTCAATTTTAAAGCACGTGCTCAACAAGAGCACAGCAAAGCTGAAAGCGACGACGACGACCAGGATTCAGTTTGCACAGAGCCATTTGTGCCCGAAACGAAAATAAAATCCAAGTATATTGTGTCTAAACCAAAGGAACGCCCTCGCAAAGTAGATATAAGTGCCTGGCTATCGTGTAGCGGGCTACATGAAGACGTCAAGTCGGAACCAAAGCCGGATCCAGATATATTACAAATGGATGCGGACACTGTTAAAGAGGAAACGGAGGATGATAAAGAAAAACTGGAGCACCTCAAATGGTTGGCAAGCATCAAGGATAGCATACAAGTGCGCATGTGCAACATGAGCATCTGTCTCCGCGGCCCCGATGAAACGGATGCAGCTAACACAACTGAAAATAAATACAGCCATCGCAAGAATTTTAAGAAGTTTGCCAAGGTACACAACGCTCGTTCTATCAGAATCACAGCTGACTTATGAATCAATTCTTTGTCTTTGCAGAAAGGCAATGTTCACTCGCAGCGGCACATCGTGGGACTGAAGCGTATGCAGCTGGCCGAAGGAATGGTCTCCGATCTGTAAGTCAGCATCAATATACATGTAATTTCTCTTGCTATATTTTGCTATCAATATATTTGCGAAACACGTTCAATGCCTTTTTTTGCTCCCGGGCTTGCAATTTGCGCTCAAAAAGTGTGGTTGCCGCCAGCCACTCGTGATTTTGTATTGCTTTCGTCACACAGCTGTCCGGCGTCTTTTTTCGCGCCTTTGACTCGCGCACAATAAAATGCTTGACATCCTCCACGGTGGCCAGCGAGTCCAGTTGGAAGGTTGGCTGCGTCGATGCAGCTTTTGGCGATTTACGTGCAACCACAGTGCCCACATCCGCTTTGGCCCGTTCCTTGGCCTTTTCTACTTTCGTAACCAATGGCGGGAGTTGTGTCTGAAGTTTGACACTTGCAGAAGGCGCCTCTTCGGCTGGGACTAGCGGCTGGCCTGCTTTTATCAGACGCAGCTGCGTTGGCAGATTACAGTTCTCGGGTATAAACTTATGCTTTTCCACTAGCGGAAATTTGGTGAGCTGAGGTTGTAGCTTGTTGTACAGTGTGGCGCAATTGTTGGCCTGCAGTAAGCTTAACTTGTTTATTTTGGCTACGGCTGCTATGAGCAGCGTCAGGAACTCCATGAAGAAATTGCTGCGTATCATTTGTCCAAAGTATTTGACGGTCGCCTCGCAGCAGTCGCGAATCCGTTCATGCAGACGATGGAAAGCTATTAAACGCACCAGTATGAATTCAAGACTGTTTCGTGTGGGCATTTCGCCAGACAGCTCCTCATCGCATGCATCAGGCAAGGCGCCGCGAAAATGTTCCAATTCACGCGGCAGATCTAGACGGAGTAGCCGGCAGAGCGCTGCATTTAGCTTGCATACAGCACGAAATCCTGGCATGCAGCGAAAAGAGTTCTTACGCCGTGCCATCAGACGTCCTATCAAAGCGGCTGTCTGATTGAACTCCAAGTAGTCTGGGCCGGATAACTGATTCAAGTATCTGTTGGTGACCACAAATACATTCTTTGCTGTGTGAACATTGATACTTAGTAAAAGTTCGCATAAACTATAAAATTCACTTAAGCTTACCAAAGCCCGTATCATTTACATGTAAAGTCACCAATGGTGGCTTTTTTAATTCAAATTCGTTCCAAAAGTGTAAACTCGCCATGCCTCAACAAAAGGTAAATAGATTCAATAAGCTATCGATAACGTTAAGATTCGATATCTTCGACTGTTATGCCTGCTTTAAGTTTGCCAGATCGAGATGGAAGTGTGCAGTTTTCTTTTCAAATTTCAAGTGCATGTAGAAGACTGTACATATATTAGGTTTGTTGCTGATTTAAAAACTTGCTTTATTAACAGTAATGATCACGCAAAACATGTAACGATTAAAGTTTGTACAAATCTCTATAAGCATTTAAAACGCTGTTCTTGGCGGTTCAGCGCTGTCAGATGGGACGATCACAGCGGTCTGGCAACTCTGCCGTGCCCATATGACTTTGACTCCACCTGTCAGCTATTCAATTTCCTCAATTATTTACTGTAGAGAGCTGTTGCGTGTACTACGTATACGCGCTGCTAATTGCCTTTTTTTTTTTACAATTTTATTAAGTCGAAGATATCGCCGTACCACGGGGGTCGCGCGGGTGTTTGTGTGTAAACTGATTAGATAGAATCGAGGCTTTGCAAAAAAAAATGCTAGTCATCAACACAATCAGAAATTCAGCGAGGCTGACGCTGCGTAATGCTTGGCTACGAAATAGTTTGGCCAGCAGAACTGGACCAACAAATTTCTCGCGCACTTTCTCGCTGGGTCTGACACTTAGGCAACAAGATGTGTAAGTGATATTAATTAAACGAACACGCCCAAGGGAAAACATATGAATTGTTTATTGTCGCTTGCAGCGTGAATGTGACCTTCGTGAGAGCGAACGGCGAAAGGATTAAGTCTTCCGGCAAAGTGGGTGACTCGCTGCTGGACGTTGTGGTGAACAACAATGTAGATCTTGACGGATTTGGCGCCTGCGAAGGCACCCTGACCTGCTCCACTTGCCATCTTATTTTCAAAGTTCCCGACTACGAGAAGTTGCCCGATAAGCCCGGTGACGAGGAGCTCGACATGTTGGATCTGGCCTACGAATTGACGGACACCTCACGTCTGGGCTGCCAAATAACGCTGACCAAGGAAATGGACGGGCTCGAGGTTCAGGTGCCGGCGACAATAAACGATGCACGCGCTGCGTAGACGTTCGTACCCGACGATTGTTACAATTTGTTACTTTTTGAGTGCTATTTCGTTTAGTTAACCTATTCATAGACGATTATTCAAAGAAATCTTTTGTATTGCATGTCCCAACGGACACTAACAAGCTCAGGCGTCTATTATAGATTCGTGCATAAATGAATTTGATTGTATGCTAGTTGATTTTTGGCAATGTATAACAGTTTTTAGGTATACAGGAACAAAGAGAAATGTAAATATTTATGTGTTCGTAAATAAATAAGTAAAGTCAAATTCTATTTTCATAAAATATGCATTTGTGATTGTCGTAATTTCAACCTACTTCGATTGCGCTGGAGTTGCCCAACCTACTCCGACTGCGCAAGAGTTGCCTAACTGTTGCTTCAAAAAAGGAGCAGAATCGAATTTTCCAACTGAAATTAAGTTAACATTTCAGTTTAATGAAGATGTCTGAATTTCCAGCTGGAAAGTGTGCCTTTGCGGCTATGTAAAATACCTCCGCCCCAAAAAATAAAAACAGAACACAGTTTTTAATAAAAGTAAACTTTTTATTATTTCGCAGCTATCAGATAAAGTAATAAATAAATAATTTAATATATACATCTGCTATATTAACTTATTTTAAACGATTCTCAGCATTTCCATTTTGCCGCTGTGCCTTTTATGATAACATTTAAACGCGTAATTTAGATAGCTTTAAATTATTTATGTATAACTGAAACTTAACAAATCTGACAATGAGAGAAATGACGTCACAATTTCGTTTATTTTCGTTTCGATCTCTTCGTTAATAACTAAAGAATTATGCAGATAAGGCAACCTTGCCATACGAATACGCAGCGAGCGATTGGAAAAGGAAAATAAACTCAATAGTTCGATAAAGAAACAAAAAAAATTAAAAAATAAATAGTTTAGGTGAAAAGGGTGGCATAAATAAATAAGTAAATAGTTAGTGAGTGAGGTGACGGGATGAAGATAAGTGCACATAAAACTGATTTGGTTTTCTGTTCACGCCGTGCTGATGATGGTGCCGTGGATACCTAGTGTGTGTGTGTGCGTGTGTGTGCGCGTGTGTGTGAATTGCCTTCTACTTAGTTGACATAGGCCATGCCCGCGCCCTTGCGATCGAAGTGGCGCACTCGCACAAAGAGGAAGGCGGCGACTAGAGAGGCCACAGCGAGGACGAGCAGCAGCATCACCAGGCCGCCCACAAAGCTGGGCACGGACATGCAAATGGTCTCGGCATCGGCGGAGCGCGCCGACTGTATGACAACCGTCTCGTTGCTGGCATTGCTGTTCAGCGCAAAGTTAACGTCACCGGGCGCCACCACCTGTATGATGCGACTCGTGTTCACGTCGGTCATTTCCTGTGCGTTGCGTTTGTAGATGCGCGGCTTCACCACAATCTCCATGGTGTCGCGACGCCGGCGCACGCCGCGCAAATCATCCAGACCCTCGACGGAGCGTGGACGGCCGCCCAGCGAAACCAGATTGCCACCAGCGCTCAGATCATCCTTGCGCTTGACGGTACTATATTGACCGGGCTGGCCAGGCAGCGGTGGTGGCGGCAGACCCAACTCGTTGCTGTTGCCATTGCCCTGCTGCTGTTGTGGCGCCTGTGAACTGGCTGGACCGCTGCCCGCATTAGCTCCCGACTCGGCTGTCGTTACGGCTGAGGTTTGCGCCTGCGGCGAGGGCACAACATCGGGCTGATTCTCGGAATAGGCGCCGCTGGCATCAGCAGGATGACGTGGATCGGGGTAAGCTGCTGGTGGGAGGCCACCCAATGGGAAATCGTTGCGTTCGTAGGCCTCTGGTGGACCATATTCCTCGGAGAGCGCATTGCCGCCTATCTGGGGCAGTCCATATTCACCGCCAGGCAGGCCGGGACCGCACTTCGGCTCTGGGCAATTGTAGCGGCACACTTGGATCACACACTGGAAGTGCACGTTCATCGAGTCGGGGAATTTGAAGGCCTGGAAGTAAGCAAAGCTGACCACCGATGCAGAAGGACCAAAGTTCTTGATCTTCTGGAATTTGCTCATGATCTTGGGTCGGACAACGCAGCCGTTTTGGTCCACCAGCTGAATGGGAGCACGTTTGCCGTCATGGGCAACACAGTTGCGCACCAGCATATCGAACTTGTTTTCATCATCCTTGATGGCCAACACCATGGTCATGGTCTGTCCGATCTTCACAATGCCTGACACCTCAGAGGCCCATGGGCCCTTGCCGACTTGAATCTGCATCCAGCACTGAAGATTATCACCCAGGAAGTTGGCTGTTACCGCATGCAACATGTCCACCTGGAAGGGCCTGAAGGTAACTGCCTTCTCGTAGAAGTCGTACCAGGTGCAGCGCAGCTTGCGTGCCTGATCCCACACCTCCTGCACATACGGATCGTACTGAATAATGATCGTGTTCTCCACATAGCTACCCGAGGGCGTCGGTGCACCATAACCAGCCGCATTATGATTGGCCGAGCTGCTCATGCCGCAACTGTTCAGGAAGATCTCAAAGGTGGCGCTCAAATGGCCAGTGCCCGGCTGCATGTGCACGCAGTGGGATTCGCTGTAGAAGCCCTTGGAGAAGATCATGCCATAGAAGGGCCTATCGAACTCAATGTTCACCCGCATGTGCGTCTTCTCGCACTGCACCTGCAGATGCTTGATCTGTGGACTGTCATTGGTGCTGGCCAGCGGCCAGGCCTCCTCGGACAGATCGTTGGTGGCGCCAGTGCTCAGCGGGCCTTGTGGTGCGCCATAAATGGGCGATGGCGCTGGCGGTCCGTAGCCCGCTCTGTGTTCCAGTGGCAGTGCGGCGGATTCAATGTGTGAGGCATCGCCGTGAACCGAGAGATGCTGCCAGAGTAAAAGAACTTCATGAGTAAGTAGAATATCTAATATAAATTTGCTATTTTCTTTAAATGGAATATTTATTCACGTAAGGAAAAATCTTCAAATCTAATAAGTCAGTATCAGCAGTCGTTCGATATAGAATCTGTCCGTCTGCTTTCCTCGTGAAACTCTGTGTGGTCATCGGCCACATCGAAGTACTATATAATATAGAGGTGCCTTAGAAACGATTCTTCTTTCTTTGAGTTCAAAGAATTGCTGTTGTTTTTCAAGATATCTTAATCAATCTTGGCATATATAGGAATTGCTATACACTATAGGAAAAACTCTAACTTAAATAAGTTTTTATATAGAAAACTTTTGTTTCTCAAAATATCTTGACCAAATTTAGCCGTGATATAATAATAATTCTTCTGCAGAGCCGGATAATTTCTATCTATAGAATAAACCATTCTCTGTTCTGGTCTTCTGTTGCTAGTTTATTCAGAGACTACTATCAGAGGGCTTTCTTTGGCCACCAGCTCAAATTGCGCTTATAATAAATTACTAAAGATATTTGTTCAGAAAACTTGATGATTTCGACAGAGATTGCCAATGATGAAAGCTCTTTACGATCCATAATCGTGCGCATTAAGATCTGCGATTTGTTGGGATTGCGGAAAACTTGCGCTTATGGTTGGCTGCTTATTTTGTCATTTAATTTGAGGCGGATTATGCAATTGGAGCCCAGTTGATCGTCACCAAAATTTTCGAAAGAAGCGTGCCAGAGCGTTGAAAATTGCAGAGCATATTATATACGTTTTGAAATTAAATGGCCGCCGGAGCGAAGCATGTTTACCTAAGCCAAAAGCAGAGGGCCCATTGCATAAGACAGCAATGTATATATGCCCCGCTCTCCGCTCTGGTACAACCAACTGGATTGCGTCGCTTTCTTTTCAGTGTATCTTTTCGTTCCCGTTTCACATTCGGTTCATAATTTTATGGCTTTTTATTTGGCTGTGCACGGGAAACGGATGTAACGCTCTGCGTCTGTGTCTCTCTGTCTGTCTGTATCTGGGCACAACCCAACTAAAATCGAAAGTTCAAGTCGGCGGCACACGATGACGCTGTGGATTTTTGGGAATCTTTTGTCGTGAGTTGATTTTGAAAGTGAAATGACCACGAACAAAACGAAAATCAAATAAAAAAGCGTCAACGAAATGTGTTTAACTTCTGTATCTTTTGATATAAGACAAGACATTCTAAATGAAGCTTTCAATGCGTATCTGTGGACTGAAGTTTTTCCACTTCTACTGGTGCATTTCACTCGGCACTAAAGAAAACTGACGATAAATAAATAATATAGCAATCTGAATGTATTAATGCGCTATAAACAAGAAAGTCAAAACTGGTACAAATCAGAGCATAACTGCAATTTCGCTGCCCCAATACAGACACGCAGCTGCCACTGCCACGGCCACAGCCACTACAACTGCTGGCCAGTTAGTAGCTGGCATTTTCCGTGACGCGATTGCATCTGCATGATATTCGCTTTAACGATTGGCTGTGTGTGTGATTGATGCAGCTTAAATGGCTGCATAAATAAGCCATAACTTGGCTTCATTTACATGCACGCATATCAAGAAAAATACGTTTTTCGTTTAAGCCATGCCATTTCAAACGAAAGCGCATCCAAGTTGCGGCAAAAATATCCCGAAAATGTAATTTTGATTGGCGACCGTTCAAATGGCTAACATTTTGCACGCTGTTAAGCGGCTGTAAAGCGCCACTGTTAAGTTCGGTCTTTATCTTTCTCTCTCTCTCACACTCGCTTGCTTGTAATTACACTGATCAGCCAAGTGCCGTTTAATGCGGCGACGGCAGCTCACTTATTGCACTTTTTTTTTTGCCTTTCTTCTGCCTCCGCATATCCGCCTGTGCGTATCGCATAGATCGCATTGATCTCAGCTTTACCGCTAGCATTACAGCTCATCTTATACACGCTGAACGTTTGGTCAATCCATCAATATGCCATACACAATGGACACTCGCACTGATTTGCATTCGAATTGATATTGAATTGTATATTGATAAACGGTAGTCCGTCGCGTCGAAAGTGATCGAATCCGCTATAGCTTGGTTTGCATAAGAAACGAACTCGTCGCTCACCGATCGCTCTCCACATCTCAACTTCTCTTCTTCTAAGTGGGCCACTCTAACTGTATAACGTTTGGTGTTTCCTAATTGAAATGAAAACATATTGATTGGGCTATCGGACATCGATCTGCATTTCAACAAGTGGCTTGTAAAGTTCACGTCAACACTTTCTTCCCAAACTAAGCTGGATGTACGGGATAGGCGGGGGGGGGGGACTTACCTGTGTGTTGAATACCAGGCACAAGACTAAGGCCAAGAGGCAACTGTGTCGCGTATAATGTCCCATTTTACTGCTGCTATATAAATCTGTTCGATTATATAGCCGTGTGTCTGTCGGTGCGCCGAATTGGTGCCTGATACAGCCAATCGTTTTGTTTTGAATTTTTGCTGCTGCTCGTCTCTGTTCGTGTTCCTCGCTGCTTTCTTCTCAGGTTTGTTGATCTTTTGGTGTCTCTTTCTGTAAGTAGCAGAAAAGAAAGGGGAACAAGGGTAAACAATGCAGCTAAACGGCGTGTAGTTTTGCATAGAGTATATAGGCCGATGCTCTTAACTGTCTAAGCATTTAGCATTAACATTAACATTAACATTGACATTAACAGCATTCATATTCTACAGGGTGTTGCTGTTTTCCATGACCTTGTCCTTTAATTGCATAGCTTGATCCATAATAAGTCGATATCTCGACTTTTACATGTTTTGCGTATTTTATTATTATTATTTTTCAATTTTTAAAGTTGTTTATTAAAAGTCTAAGTTGATTCTTAGATGGTTTATTATATTCTGTCAAATTTCATGCCAAAAATTGGCAACATTTTCAGCTTGTAATGCTACCAAAATTCGTAGTAAATCGTAAATCGTAGACCTAATGCCTTTTGAAGAAAACTTTCAAAATGCTTTTTTGTTTCTTTTTCATTTTTAAATATTATTTGTATATTTTAATTTAATCGGAACCTTTAAATTTGTATTAATATTATGTACAATTATTTTATTGGTTCGTATAACCACAATAAGACAAAATGAAGAGCAGACTCATAATGGCTTAATGCTCATAACTTGAAAAGCACTTAAATGACACTATATATATACACACTCACACACACACATACACACATACACTTTTATAGTCGCCGAAACTGCATTTTATGTAAAGCAAATGAAAACTCGCGGGCAACAAACAGGAACCACTTTCTATTTTCACTATAACAGTACACGGAGGAGCTGCAGTGAGCAGCAACAACAACAAGTAGCCAAACGCCAACGCAGTTGCAAGTTTTCTTCACAGTGGCTGGCCCCACTTTATGGGCCCCATTAATTTGTATTTGTGTGCTTGTATTCCACGGTGCTTACTTTACAGTTTGGCCTAGCATAGCAATAACATTGTGTTAACATACGCTAAACATTTCACGTGCCGCGCGTTGACTTCGACTTGGAGACGTTGCCGCTGCGCCTGCGTCTTCGTCTGCTTGCCGATTGAGACTGAGGCCGATTCTGCGGCTCTGGCTGCGACTGAGACTGAGACTGACGACCGCATCAGAGGCGCAGCTTTCACACAGCTCCAAGTGAAGCGGCTGAGCTCAGGTTGCCGCGCCGGCTGCTGCTTTTGGCGGTGCTACGAGCGGGGCTGTGGGGAGTTGCTTTTTAAAAAAAAAAAGTAAGCGGTGTCTGCGTCGCATTTCACTTGACTGAGTGTTGAGTTTTTTTTTTTTTTTTTGTTTTTGTAAGTTTTTGGGCTGCCTTGGTGAATGTTGTAGCGGGCAGTTTTACTTTTACAGATGGTAACAGCGGCCCATCATATGGCACCGGCCAGCCGAAAAGTACGACACCCGAGCACACCCCATCTAAATGGCTTTTTAACAAGCTGCGCAATAAATCGACGAGCACGCTAAATAAAGAAAAAAAAATACAAAAACCGGCTCTCCAGCGTTGAGCAAGTGTACCATTAACCCACTGAGACAGTAACGGACGCTGCTGCGCTGCGCTGCGCCACTGTCAGCGTCGACGTCGACGCTGACGCCGCTTAAGCTGACCCTAGCCACGACCACTGACTGGCTCGTTACGCAATGCTCCCAAAAGAACTTCAATGAATGGGGCTGGTCAGTGTGCCTCTATGTGTGTGCCTCTGTGTGTGTGCGTGCCTGATTGTGTGCCTTTATGTGTGTGTGTGTGTGTGGATGTGTGTGTGGGTTGCTTACTTTAACGGCGCTTTTTGGGGCTTCTGCTGCTTCACTTTCTTCCTCGACTATTTTCACCCGAGCAAAATTGTCTCCCATTTGCATACGAAAGACTTAAGACACAAACTTGGCAATTAAACAAGCAGCGAAATTTTTGCTAATTGCTGCCCAAGCAGCCAGCAAAATGAAGATGCCTTATCAATGCCGACTCAAATCGTTACATTCAAGTTGATATAGTTATATATTAAGTACAACGAATTCAATATACACTTACATTTGGCTAAGTGAGGCATTTCACAGCAAAAAACGTGAATAATCTCTAAATGTATTTAGTACAAAAAAGTGTTAAATAAAAATTTAATAATACAAAGAGTATCTAGTAGCATAATTGAATAGATAGACTTTAGACAGAGATATTTATGTGACAGATAGTATTATTCTTTTTGTGACACACAACTTGACTAGTTAGCCATGCTCTTTTGCAGGGTATGCCTTAATCATACAAGACTTCTAGGCGGCTCGTGGGGTTGACTGCCATCTGATGATCCAGCCTCATCTAGCGTGCTTGATGCGCATTGTTATTGCTTATTGTTGTTGCCATTTGTTATTGTTGCTCTTGTGGTTGTTTTGTAGTTATGTGTAACTGCTGATGATGAGTGGCTTGTTGTTATTGTTGCTCGTTTGGCATAAGGCAAGTGAAAGTTGGCGTTTGCCATGCGCACTCCCAGCGAGCTTTCGTCTGGCATCTCTTTTTCATATAAGGGCATTGCTGCTGCTGCCACTGTTGTTGTTGTTATTGTAGCTGTCTTTTGTTTTCTTTTTTAATTAACACAATCAAATTACTGTTTACTGGCATTTCTACATATCGTTATCATTGCCGTCAGACAAAAGAAAAAAAGTATACCTAAAGGTGCGAACTTTTGTTTTCAGCCAGTTCCTGACTAATTAGCTTATAAGCTTTAGCGAGACCCAACAGCCAGTCGATGCCACACGGCCTGGCTGGCTGCCACAGGGGCAACATTGCCAGCACTTGCTGCTCTTTTGTTAGACGATTTATTCTCAGCTCAGGTTTGTTGCTGACAAACATTAAATAATGTGAAAAGTGCCAGCAAGTGAAAATGCAATGAAAAGTTGTTGCTCGTGTTGTTGTTGCTTGTGTTGTTGCTGTTGTTTGTTATTGGCTTGTTTGTGGGCTGTTTGTTTGCTTTTGGAGCGGGAGCGCAAGTCGGCGTCCGTCTATTGATTGAAATGACAATCGAAGCTGTCTCCTTGACTGGTCGTCGTTGTCGTTGCCGCAAACTAGGTGAACCACTGCACTTCACACAAACACACATAACTCTAGCGTTCGGTTTGTTCTAATTCTTGTTAATTTACGTGGCTGCCAATGCTCGTGCTCTGATGACCAACAATTTGGGCTAGATGAGCCGGATATTTATTTTGAACCATGCGTTTCCATTCATGACACTCGAATTGCAGGATGATGCCTGAGGCTAGCAATCAATGCCAAATAACAATGCCAGACAATCACATGTTGGTCGCATATTAATTTCGAATACTATCAACAGCTCTATATATAATTTGATGGCCCAGTCAAATAATAAGACTTAGTTGTCCTGCTGTCAATTGGCTGCATCAAATGCATTTAATGTTAGCTTAAGTTAATTTCTTTGTAGCTTGTAATGGGATTTTTTTTATTTGGTGGCAGCCGTTTGGCTAGTTCCATTAATTTAATTGAACGCTTTCACAAAACTACCCAAAAGCAAACGGCAAACACTTTTGGCAATGCCACGGGCGACGCAAATGTCCGGCGAATGATGGAGGGGGCGGAAGGCGACGACGCGACACAGGCCGGACATTTTGCTTAATTGAGCACGCCAACGATAGACAACATCAACATCAAACAGCATCAAAGCTGACAAATTTTTGCTTATGACACAGATGGCACAGCTGTGAGCCAGCGACCAAGCCCTGACTTGGAGCCAGAGCCGTGGTTCCAAGAGCCCAAAGCTAATGCAAACAATGGGCGTGCACAGGTTTTGCTTAACATACAAAAATAAAAAACAGAACTCGAAACAGAGTTTTGGGTCTTTGTCAGTTTTATTGTTGGAATGTTTTTGTTTACCACTTCGATTGCTGCTTGGCTGATGTTGTTGCTTTTGTTGTTGTCTTTGTCGCTTGGCGGGTAAAAGTTTCACTGGCTTGCAGATGCTGTGTGTGTGTGTAGCTGTGTGTGAAGCTGTGTGTGAAGCTGCGGCTGCTGCTGCTGCTTTTAATATCGCCTTGAAAATGTAACGGTGCTACAACTACTACAAGATGCTCACACACACACACACACTTAGACAGAATTCGTTGTCATTGTGGCTGCGCCGTAAATGATCGATATTACTTGCCATTGTGGCATAGAAATTGAAGCCCCATGCGTAATTAACTACAAACACATGTCTCCAGCGGCTGTCTCTATGCCAATATCTATATCGAACTGCGGCCACAAGTCGGATGCTGTGAAAGTGAAATGTTAACGCCAAAGAAAAGCAAACAGCAACAAAAACAAAAAATGTTAACCACCAAGGTTTGCATGTGCTTGTTGCTGGCTGGCTGGCTGGCTGGCGAGCTGGCTGGCTGACAGTGAAGGGGCAATTTACGTTTCATTTCGTTTTGTGGTATGTGCCTCAGTTCACTTTTTTTTTTATAGCTATTAAGTAACTTTTTCTCCAGATAGATCTGCGACAGCTGACAAAATATTTGTTAGCGGCGCGCAAACGTGTTGCGCGAAAGGGCATTTCTTTGACTCTTAACCTGGCCGACGCGTGCCAGCATAATTGATAAAGATCTCAACTTGAGACAGTCATAAAAATTGTTTTAAAATTACGAAAATAATTATTATCTGTATAAATGGCCAGTCAAATGATTTATGTAACTCAATTAAAAGTGAAAAATTAAATGAATGATTGTCAGTTAGGAAAAACAAATGACTTAGGCAACAAACTTGGCTGCATTTTCACAAACGCCCGCAGCTATGCGTCTTGGCGGACAAGCACAATTTTGTTATCGTCTTTTTTTTTTTGCCAGGCATTATGTAAAATAGAGCAGACAATTAGTTTTCTATGCTCCAGTTTTTGGCGCCGGCAGCTCGCAGCTCGCGACAGTTGGCGACAATTAAAAAGTGATAAGGCGCCCGCAGGCCCCAGGCAAAAAGACAAGTAGTCTGCAACCCCCCTGCCCGCCCAGACGTGCCTGCGCGACAAATGAAAGTAAATTGTTGCATGCCACGCCGCCTTGGCGGCAT